CCAGCTTTTCCAAGGGCGCCCCCCCTCCCCTTTTCCTCCCCCCTGAAAATTTAACACTCCCAAGTCATCTTTTTTTGCTCCATCTTATCAAAAATTCCAAACCGCCTCAACAATCTTTCAGCCCCTGGATAACACTTTCTGTAACCCGCACCTCCTTGTCTCCAAGCAAAACGATTTCCTCATGAATTCCACCACACATTTCCGTCAGATATACATCGTCACTGCCTCCAGTCCGTCTTTGTTTGCAACATTCACAGCATTTACAAAGAATTGGTACAACTATACTCTCACACTTTCTCCTTTTTGCCTCCATGGGAAACTTCTTCATTTTCACAAGGGGTTCAATGCCCATACAATTTTTTTTTTTCCCCTCGTCTATCTATGGTTCCCTCGTTTTTACATGACGAAAATCGACTTAACCAAAGTTGTATACAAGGGGGGTACAGAGGAAAGTTGAATTCTAGATAGCTTGTAATGCAGTGTGGTAGTCTGAAGCGCTCCATTTCTTAAACTAAAACAAACTTTTAAATATTATTTACTCAGTTTACAGCTAAAAAAAAAAGTGCCGCATTGGTAACAAAGTTGCCTACAGAACTCCACACGCCCAAAAAAACCCTTTGGGGATAATCCTAAAAACATAATTTTAATAAAAATTTAAAAAAAAATATCCTTTAAAAATTGCTGAGACTTTAAACTCATTAGGGAAAAAGACCCATAAACATCTGCTTCATAAAAAACCCCCATGTAAATTTTCCTATATTGTCCATATAACCAAAACAACCGAAAAATTTCTGACATCTGCAACTTCTTTTAAAACCCCCTTTGGGCGAAGATAACACTGCTCTTTTGGGGACATGATCACTGATAACACAACACCTGAATAACACAACTGATCATTACCAACCTTTTTAGTTACCAACATAAATTAAATCGCCAGTTTGCCACCTAAAAAAACTTTCAGACTCTAATCGAAGTTTCAGAAAATATTCTATTATGTTTATAAGTACCATTTCGGGCAGAGAAATTTCAATATTGTTTAGGATACTAACTATGTATTAAGTTTTTAAAAAATTGCAATACCTCTAAAACCCATTGTCCCTTAAAACCATATAAGTTAAAATAGAAGACTCAACAGCCTTGACTAACCAACAAAACAACATCTCAGAGTCATTGACACGTAACATACCTATGAAAATTACAGGAAAGGTTTTAAATTCCCAAAAACTAACACAAATATATACACCAAACACCATTTTTATAAAGAACCCAAAAACTATTTAATACTTTAAGGTTCCCGGAAATTAAAAGGATTTTACCATAAAGACCGGAAAAAAATTCTCTCCAAAAATGGCCTGACGCAAAAGGGATTATGAAAGAAACTGTACAGACTAACCTGATGAACCCCATTCATACTGTTGATACAAAAATGAAACTAATAACTTCCATTCTAGTCAAGGGGACCCTCTACCTGTCCACAACAAACACTACAGAGGTAAAATCAATCCTGCCAACTCCTTTAACAAATTTCTTGAAACCTAAACTTTTCCTAATATATTAAAGCTTGTGACAAATTGGGTTTAAAACCGACTAATGCGAATCTTATTGAGGAAAAGTTCTTGACACAGTGGCTCATCAGGCGATACAAATGGAGAGGTGTAGGAGAGGAGGGTTGAGTAATCAGTTCCCTCAGACGGGGAGTCGAAGTAGTCATCCCTCAATCTTGTAGAAAGTGCGCATGGGGCCGTAGACGGGCTATATACAAAAGAATTCTTCAACACCTTGTTCAAACTTTGGACGAAGAAAATACTTCGACAAGGGGAGGTACCACTATGGCCCCCCTCGCCTGCTTCACCTCACCTCACCAGTAGTAAGCCACTTCTAGGCCCTATGCTGTACATTCTACAAGATTGATGACTGAAACATCACTCCAGGTGAGGAACTAATTAACCTCAAACTCCCCCTCTCCTTACACCTCCCTGATTTGTATGGACTGATGAAGCCACTGTGTGGCGAAACGTTTCTTCAATAAGGATTCCCATATGTTGCAAAAGTGTCTCAATCTTATACTTAAGCTTGCTCGGATTATTCCAATCCACAAAAAAGCGGTGATCCATTAATAAACAATTATAATCACTCTAACTTGCCATTCCCGTTTAAAATTTTTGAAAACGAATACATTCATTTATTAATTTTATCAGAAATATTCTTAACCCCGGAGATGGGCTTCGGGCCATGAAAAATTACTAATGATGCTATCATAGATGTTAGACGTTGTCTATTCAGCTTAGAAATAATGATAATCCAATGGGCCTCTTTTTTTAACACTGTAGACTAAATATTTTTGCTGCTGAAACTAGAGAATTATGGAATAAAAACCCCATGCTCTCATAGACGTCGAATTAACTTTGTGACTGTTAATAACACTGCCCTTTAACACAAACTATCAACACAGGAGTGCCCCAAGGTAGCGTCCTTGGCCTACTATATTCTTTAACCTACATCAAGGACCTCCCCAAGGGTCCCCCGGGGAACTTAAACCGTCCTGCCCAGAGATGACACAATATTGTACTTTGATTGACAAACCAACAAAACCTTATTCAAAATATTGACACGACCTTCTACATGTCATCTGGGAATAACGATAAAAAGACCCATATTTTTTTTCCAGCGTAAATATTAAAAAAAAAATCACATATAGAAAGACAAGCCGAGGAAAATTTTTTAGCAATACACCTTGATGCAACACTCATTTCAACACCTTATGATGCAACACTCATGTCCAACACCTTGATGCAACACTTATGTCCAACACCTTGATGCAACACTTATGTCCAACACCTTGATGCAACACTCATGTCCAACACCTTGATGCAACACTCATGTCCAACACCTTGATGCAACACCATGTCCAACACCTTGATGTAACACTCAAAGTACAACACCTTTATGCAACACTCATGTCCAACACCTTGATGCAACACTCATGTCCAACACCTTGATGCAACACTCATGTCCAACACCTTGATGCAACACTCATGTCCAACACCTTGATGCAACACTCATGTCCAACACCTTGATGCAAAAACTCATTCCAAACCCTTTATGCAACGCTCATGTCCAACCCCTTGATGCAACATCATGTCCAACACCTTGATGCAACGCTCATGTCAACAAACCTTTATGCAACACATCATGTCCAACACCTTATGAAACACTCATGTCCCAACACCTTGTGTAACATCATGTCCAACACCTTGATTGTACACCATGTCAACACCTTGATGTAACACTCATGGGCCAACACCTTGATGCAACTCATGTCCAACACCTTGATGCAACCTCATGTCCAACACCTTGATGTAACACTCATGTCCAACACCTTGATGCAACACTCATGTCCAACACCTTGATGCAACACTCATGTCCAACACCTTGATGCAACACTCATGTCCAACACCTTGATGCAACACTCATGTCCAACCCCCTTGATGCAACACTCATGTCCAACACCTTGATGCACACACCGTCCCAAAACCTGGCAACACTCATGTCCAACACCTTGATGCAACACTCATGTCCAACACCTTTATGAACACTCATGTCCAACACCTGATGCAACACTCATGTCCAAACCTTGATGCAACCCTATGTCCAACACCTTGATGTAACACTCATGTCCAACACCTTGATGTAACACTCATGTCCAACACCTTGATGCAACACATATGTCCAACACCTTGATGTAACACTCATGTCCAACACCTTGATGCAACACATCATGTCCAAAAACCTTGATGTAACACTCATGTCCAACACCTTGATGCAACAATATGTCCAACCACCTTTATGTAACACTCAAGTCCAAAACCCTTTATGCAACACATATGTCCAACACCTTGAAGTAACACTCATGTCCAACACCTTGATGCAACACTATGTCCAACAACCCTTGATGTAACACTCATGGCCAACACCCTTGATGAACACTCATGTCCAACACCTTGATGTAACCCCTCATGTTCAAACACCCTTTATGTAACACTCATGTCCAACACCTTGATGCAACACTATGTCCAACACCTTGATGTAAACACTCATGTCCAACACCTTGATGCAACCTCATGTCCAACAACTTGATGAACACTCATGTCCAACACCTTGATGAACACTCATGTCCAACACCTTTTATGCAACACTATGTCCAACACCTTGATGTAACACTTATGTCCAACACCTTGATGCAACACTTATGTCCAACACCTTGATGCAACACTCATGTCCAACACCTTGATGCAACACTCATGTCGAACACCTTGATGCAACACTCATGTCCACACCTTGATGCAACACTCATGTCCAACACCTTGATGCAACACTCATGTCCAACACCTTGATGCAACACTCATGTCCAACACCTTGATGCAACACTTATGTCCAACACATATCTTAAGAACATTTCTAAAACTGTGGATATTCTATCAATATTACCTGGAGTTTACCTGGAGAGAGTTCCGGGGGTCAACGCCCCCGCGGCCCGGTCTGTGACCAGGCCTCATGGTGGATCAGAGCCTGATCAACCAGGCTGTTACTGCTGGCTGCACGCAATCCAACGTACGAGCCACAGCCCGGCTGGTCAGGAACGGACTTTAGGTGCTTGTCCAGTGTCCAGCTTGAAGACTGTCAGGGGTCTATTGGTAATCCCCCTTATGTATGCTGGGAGGCAGTTGAAACAGTCTCGGGCCCCTGACACTTACTGTAATATGTTACATTGTTGCCCAGACAACATTACTCTTCATAAGGAGGAACATTTTATATAGTGGTTTATATATGTCACTTACGCCAGTGTTAATTGTATACTGTAATTCCCTTCATATAAACAAAGTTGTTTGTGTGTTTAGTTTTGATTGTTGACAGTCTGATCTCCTACTGTCTGCTCTTACCACGAAATATGCCTTAGAAAAGACCTGTATTGTAGCCTTGTCGTTTATAACAATGCACGTATCTCAGAGTGTACAATGACGGTGGTGGTGTGTACGCAGGCGTTCCCGACCAAGCTGAGGACCATGTGTATCTGCCTCTCCGAGGTCATCTTCATGGAAGGCTTCATGCGCAAGATCTACAACTTTATCAACGGCCTGGAGGTGCTGCACCTGGTTGGTGAGTCTGTCTTTCTTTTCCTCGTTCTTCCTGTTTCGTCTGATTTCTTGGTTATATGAACTATCACGTGAATAGTTTAATTAAATATCTTTATTATGCACCCCATACCCATGGTCTGGGTGGTAATCAACAAAAAATTATATAGGTACATAATGGATCAGGGCTAGGCCGCAAAGTTTTGACTAGATTTTGAACAGGATTTCCAGTGGTAATGTTTATATTTACATGTTTTATCTATGGTGACAATAATAGAGTTTTTGCAGACATATTACCTCACACACGAAAAAAAAAAAATGGTTATGTTTATTATATAGTGTGCAAAAGTCTGGGTATTTTTCTAGAATGGTTTGTATATCACATTTCTTGAACATTTCTGAGTGAGTTTTCTCTGAACTCTAATTAATTTACGCACATCACAGTATATATAAGGCACAAGGGTTGACAATATCCTCTGACAAAGTTTATAATATTCGTATTGTCTACATCTGCGTGGTGTGTTAGTGTTTACCTCCTAATAGTCGTTTACATTATGGACTGCGGCAACAGTTTACCACACACATACAGTGCAACCCACTAAAATATAGTATCACAGCCACACAACTAGTTGCTCTCTATCTTCTGCTTATTATTTTAGTCTGTTAATATTCGCTTTCCACCACTGCTTTCTTAACTCTGTCCTTGCCTGCTTACTTAGTTCTGTCCTTGCCTGCTTACTTAGTTCTGTCCTTGCCTGCTTACTTAGTTCTGTCCTTGCCTGCTTACTTAGTTCTGTTCCTTAGCCTGCTTACTTAGTTCTGTCCTTGCCTGCTTACTTAGTTTCTGTCCTTGCCTGCTTACTTAGTTCTGTCCTTGCCTGCTTACTTATTCTGTCCTTGCCTGCTTACTTAGTTCTGTCCTTGCCTGCTTACTTAGTTCTGTCCTTGCCTGCTTATTATTCCTCTTGCCTGCTTACTTAGTTCATGTCCTTGCCTGCTTACTTAGTTCTGTCCTTGCCTGCTTACTTAGTTCTGTCCTTGCCTGCTTACTTAGTTCTGTCATTGCCTGCTTACTTAGTTCTGTCCTTGCCTGCTTACTTAGTTCTGTCCTTGCCTGCTTACTTAGTTCTGTCCTTGCCTGCTTACTAATTCTGTCCTTGCCTGCTTACTTAGTTCTGCCCTTGCCTGCTTACTTAGTTCTGTCCTTGCCTGCTTACTTAGTTCTGTCTTGCCTGCTTACTTAGTTCTGTCCTTGCCTGCTTACTTAGCTTCTGTCCTTGCCTGCTTACTTAGTTCTGTCCTTTCCTGCTTACTTAGTCTGTCCTTGCCTGCTTACTTAGTTCTGTCCTTGCCTGCTTACTTAGTTCTGTCCTTGCCTGCTTACTTAGTTCTGTCCTTGCCTGCTTACTTAGTTCTGTCCTTGCCTGCTTAGTTCTGTCCTTGCCTGCTTACTTAGTTCTGTCCTTGCCTGCTTACTTAGTTCTGTCCTTGCCTGCTTACTTAGTTTTCTGCCCTTGCCTTGCTTACTTAGTTCTGTCCTTGCCTGCTTACTTAGCTCTGTCCTTGCTGCTTACTTAGTCTGTCCTTGCCTGCTTACTTAGTCTCTGTCCTTGCCTGCTTACTTAGTTCTGTCCTTGCCTGCTTACTTAGCTCTGTCCTTGCCTGCTTACTTAGTTCTGTCCTTGCCTGCTTACTTAGTTCTGTCCTTGCCTGCTTACTTAGTTCTGTCCTTGCCTGCTTACTTAGCTCTGTCCTTGCCTGCTTACTTAGCTCTGTCCTTGCCTGCTTACTTAGCTCTGTCCTTGCCTGCTTACTTAGTTCTGTCCTTGCCTGCTTACTTAGCTCTGTCCTTGCCTGCTTACTTAGTTCTGTCCTTGCCTGCTTACTTAGTCTGTCCTTGCCTGCTTACTTAGTCTGTCCTTGCCTGCTTACTTAGCTCTGTCCTTGCCTGCTTACTTAGCTCTGTCCTTGCCTGCTTACTTAGTTCTGTCCTTGCCTGCTTACTTAGTTCTGTCCTTGCCTGCTTACTTAGTTCTGTCCTTGCCTGCTTACTTAGTTCTGTCCTTGCCTCTTACTTAGTTCTGTCCTTGCCTGCTTACTTAGTTCTGTCCTTGCCTGCTTACTTAGTTTCTGTCCTTGCCTGCTTACTTAGTTCTGTCCTTGCCTGCTTACTTAGTTCTGTCCTTGCCTGCTTACTTAGTTCTGTTCCTTGCCTGCTTACTTAGTTCTGTCCTTGCCTGCTTACTTAGTTCTGACCTTGCCTGCTTACTTAGTTCTGTCCTGCCTGCTTACTTAGTTCTGTCCTTGCCTGCTTACTTAGTTCTGTCCTTGCCTGCTTACTTAGTTCTGTCCTTGCCTGCTTACTTAGTTCTGTCCTTGCCTGCTTACTTAGTTCTGTCCTTGCCTGCTTACTTAGTTCTGTCCTGCCTGCTTACTTAGTTCTGTCCTTGCCTGCTTACTTAGTTCGTCCTTGCCTGCTTACTTAGTTCTGTCCTTGCCTGCTTACTTAGTTCTGACCTTGCCTGCTTACTTAGTTCTGTCCTTGCCTGCTTACTTAGTTCTGTCCTTGCCTGCTTACTTAGTTCTGTCCTTGCCTGCTTAGTTCTGTCCTTGCCTGCTTACTTAGTTCTGTCCTTGCCTGCTTACTTAGTTCTGTCCTTGCCTGCTTACTTAGTTCTGTCCTGCCTGCTTACTTAGTTCTGTCCTTGCCTGCTTACTTAGTTCTGTCCTTGCCTGCTTACTAGTTCTGTCCTTGCCTGCTTACTTAGTTCTGACCTTGCCTGCTTACTTAGTTCTGTCCTTGCCTGCTTACTTAGTTCTGTCCTTGCCTGCTTACTTAGTTCTGTCTTGCCTGCTTACTTAGTTCTGTCCTTGCCTGCTTACTTAGTTCTGTCCTTGCCTGCTTACTTAGTTCTGTCCTTGCCTGCTTACTTAGTTCTGTCCTTGCCTGCTTACTTAGTTCTGTCCTTGCCTGCTTACTTAGTTCTGTCCTTGCCTGCTTACTTAGCTCTGTCCTTGCCTGCTTTCTTGATCTTTTTGTTCACTTTCCTCAACCACTTTGTTTTCTGACGGTCTTTCACTATGTCTGATTATTCTAACTCACTTTGTCTTGCTCATCCATTCAGATGAGTTTTGTTGGTTCTTGTGTTATCTGACAGACTCTTTCATGTTCATTACTTCAGCTTTCAACTAACACTTGTTCTCTTCACACAGTTTAGTCTTCAGAGTGGGCGAGCTGTTACCTTTCCTCAGCTCAGTACATAATGTAACTCGATTTGAGACAAATTGACATCAGATTTTATTCGGATTTTTTTTTTAACCCTGGGGAGGAGTTAGTTACCCAGGTTAATCTGATCAAGTCAGTGCGTCATCAGCAACTATTTGTCTTATATCCATTAGGGTCCTTCAGTCTTGTCCCCCAGGATGTGACCCAAAACAGTCGTCTAATGCCCAGGTACCTACTTACTGCTTGGTGAACAGGGGCAGTAGGTGTAAAGAAAAATTGATCCCGGACTCTCAGTATGTGAACTGAGGTAGCTACCAATCAAGCCATAAGCACCCCCGTTCCTCCCTCCCTCTCTCACTACTCTGTCTACCCATCAGGTACGTATGAGAAGGCAGACGAGGAGGAGGAGGAGATTTACGAGGTGATCAACATTCACAAACTCAAGTCAGCCACACCTAACCTGAAGATTGTCAACCTCTATGGTATCAACTTTGTTGATGACTCTCACGTTGAAGCCTTTAGTTCCAACTGTATCCAGGTGAGTTTGGTGCTGCATCTAGGTGAGTGTGTTACTGCATCCAGGTAAGTGTCTTCTCATAACCAAGGCAGGTGAAGCACCTCAAACAGATGGAGAGGTAGGTGATGGATCAAGTCCTGGACCAGGTGGCAGATCAGGAGGCAAGACATGACCTGGGCCAGTAATGAACGGGTGCTGGACTAAGTCCTGCACCAGGTGATGGACCAGGTTCGGCACTTGATGGATCAGGTACTGACCTAGGTGCCGAACCAGATGCTGAACCAGTTGCTGACCTAGGTGTTGAACCAGGTGCTGAACCAGGTGCTGACCTAGGTGATAGACTACCACATGCACTTGCATCAGGTGCTGGACCAGGTTCCTCAGTGCTATAACCTCAACTTTGGTGTTAATGTGAGAACAGTGAGAATGATGTACATAACCTACATTAGATCCCTAATGATTATGTTGCGGCTATGTTAATATTGCTTTAAGAAAATTCTCTCCGACCCTTAGAGTTAATGCACAATGAAGCCCACAGAATTATTCTTGACTGTTATAAATCTACGAAGGTTTTTAATATGAGGAAGGAGATTGGTATTTCTGGTATTAGTGATAGGATTATTGAGATTAAAACTGTACTTATAATTAGAATGTTAAGAAATGAACCAGACACTGTCACTATGAATCTTACTAAGTGTTTATAGGTAAATACACGTAGATCTAAATGGGTTGTGAAAACATGCAATTATGTTAAGTTTAATAACCTGCATGAACTGTATCACTGTAGACAACAAGAGCATTTCACCCTCCATGGAAGATGTGTTCATTTAACATCATATACCTGCAAGTCCCTCACAAGGAGCTCATTGCTAGTAATCCCTTCCTTAAAATCATTTGTTAAAGCAACTGTTCAGAAGAATTTTCTCGCTTAACTGTTAGGAATAATATATCATAAATTATATACAGTGATGGATCTAAGGAGAAGTGTACTGGCAGGGCTGCATCTGCTCTTGTTGCCACCTCCATAGTTAGCAATGATAGCAACTATGCTTAGTTAGGCATAAGTAAAACAACTGGGCATCTACACTGCAAACTGAGTTGTTTGCCATCCTAATGACACTAAAGTTAACTTATAACACCGAGCTTGACTATGATTATTATTGATATTATGTTATCACTGACAAATATGCTCAGTGGAGAAGCCAGATATATATATAAAAAATCCGGAAAAAGAATTATTTTTTAATTGTTTTAGTTTCCCCCCAC